ATTTATATACTCACAGTAAAATACTGTAAATACCAATCGAGGTTTAAGTAGCTTATCTAATGTGTCGCAGCTACAATTCTTATCTCAGTTAAGTTTGATTACAAACGTGTATGAAATACTGTTCTGAAAACAAAACAGCAGACAAGAAAACTATCAGCAAAGAAGCTGAAACATGGTGCTCGTAAATTCTTTCAGCATAAAATATACTTAATGTACTTTAAACACAAGTCTACTTACTCAGTAAAATAACTATAACTATTTTCAGCTGGAAGATTTTGAATCGTTATTTCGAAATTTCGGGTTTTCAAAACGCGTATAGATAAACAAACTTCTTAAATAACACAAAAAGGGCTATAGTACAAGTGTTCTACTCTGTTGTAATGGAACACAGCAATTCGGCTTGGCCGTATAAACACGCCTGTTTAACAGAGCAAAGATCTCCCAACCCATACCCCCCATAAAGTTGAATCTCTCCGCCTAGCGTTTATGATCTAAATATAGTCATCTGCGGATGATCCAGCCCTTCATATACAACAGATGTCGTCTTCAACAAAGTCTATCATTTAACTCCGCCCGCCCCCCTTCCCTGGACAATAGCCACTTATGTCAAGAGTAAAAAGACTCGACAATAATTTCAATGTCCGGTTAACAACGAAAAACAAAAAAGAAACAACCCGTCCCAGGCTACCTTGCGGCATTGTCCTGTTCAAAGGCTTTCTCGAAATAGCTGCAGTGCACTTACCATTGGTGGCCATCCCCGGAGGGGGACACCGGGCAAGGGAGGAGACTGTAGAGAGTCCTACGATAGCTCTTTATTTCCCCCTTATAGGTAAGGGAGGGGTGTCACACAGCAGACTTAACAGCACAAATGAAATTGACCGAGACCAGGGAATAATAATTTGTCATCAAGAAATTAGCAACTGCTTTTAAACTTCAAGCTTCTGCTGAACTGCTTGCAGAAACAACACCTCCCTCATTCAGTCTACCTCTGGGGAAAATATCCCTTTAAATCTCCCTAAAGGGTAGGGCCGAAGACACCTCTATAAATTAAAAAGGTCGACCTCTTTCCAACAACAAGTTTAAATAAATCCAAATTATAACTTAAAGAGAAACAAAGTCGTTATCACTGGAATGCAGTTCAGGAAACTAAATAAGTTTAGATATTTAACGTATAATGAACAACTTATCTTTGAAATCTTTACTTTAAAGTACATGCTTTCAATACTGCCTCTCTATTCGATTTCACGTTTCGTTCTCATAAATAAAAGCGAAAACAAATTAAAAAGGAAAAATTAAAATAAAGGGAATGACATATCCACTCCTTAAGATCGTAATAAAATAAATTACATTTTTTCGGTGTTTCCAAGTTAAAACACAACCTAACTGTTGGCACAAAGGTTGATTGAAATGCTTTACCATAATGTGACCATAACAGTTCTCCAGTGAACTTAAACCATTTACAAAATTAGATCTTACGACGCTCCTTAGTCCTCCATCCATTCTCACTGTTGATCTTGGCTCAGAAAGCAGCACAGACTTTCCCTTTTGAGCCTCTCCGCCTTTTCCCGAAAAACCATTCTTTGGTTCCCATTTAATGAAGTAATATTTATCCCGTCTGACTTAATATTGACTCCATCTTTTACTGTCTTACACCGCTTCAGGCATGTTATCGAAATGTTTTCTCATGGACTTGATGCTTTTGTATATCTTGTTCCTGTGACCTATCAGGGTAACCCCGATCTCTTTGAGATCGTTGTCTTTTAGGCATGTTACTTGTGTTAAGTCCTTGAAGCCTGCAGTCTTGAAGTTCGCGGCATACTGTCCCATATGAATACTGCCTAACCACTCGTTGATCGTACTAAGTTTGGTGAAGTCCGCTGAAACGGCGCTGAAAGAGATCAGTATGTTTACAATTGATAAGACGTCTTTTGTTCCACACGTGCGA